ACCATAAAGAAATGGAGTGGGACCCAGGCTCGGCAAACTCGGAGCGCAGTCAAATTCAGGTTCGGCAAAAACAGGCTCGGAGGTACTGGTGGTTAAAAAAAAAAAAAAAAAAAGGATGACACATATAAAAAGGACAAAAAGAAGGGCTTTACAGGCACAGCAAGGCCTGAGCACTAGAGATGGGATCAAAGAAGAAATTGAAAAGAGAACAGTACTGAGATGGGAATTAGGGCCACCGTCGGGATAGAGGCCTTGCAAAAGGGCTTCGCATTAAAAAAAACACAAAGGGAATTAGGGCCTCGCCACATCACTACCCAGCGAAATGAAGTTTTTGGGAGTGCTCAAGAACATGAAACCCCATTCAAGAGTGCCTTTCGCCACACTGCGCTCTGAAAGGGGGGGGGGTAACTTCAGTAGAGCCACAAAAAATAGGTTAAAAAATTAAAAAAAAACAGTTATAAACTTGTAATTGCACTATGGGGCAAGAGACAGTTTGCAATTTCGGGCAAGAGACAGTTTGCAATTTCTTTTTTTGAAGAAAACTTCATATGTGGGAAAACCCACCTACCATGCTGATAAGAGCAGCCCCGTTTAAGTGGGTTCCAGCACTGCAGACTCCATCTATTGGTGGGGAGGGTGGGGAGCTACGCCGTGACCTGCTGGAAAAATCGGGTTCAGCGTCCCTGTACATGGTGTGTGTCTCCTGGAAATAGGTTCCAACGTCCATGTAATATGATGTCTGAGGTTGTTGTACTGTGTATCATGGTGTGTGTTTCCTGGAAATAGGGTCCAGCTTCCCTGTAATATGATGTTTGAGGATGTTATACTGTGTATCCAATACTGTGTGTGTGACTGTAGAATCTGAATAAACCACACCACATTGGGCTCTCAAACAGGGCACTAGCCTATTCCCCAGATGTGGTACATGCTTCCCGACAGGTTCTGTGGGACTACGTCTGACAGACGTCTGTTGTCCCGTCGAGCTACACTCGCAAATCTAGGATGAGGTCCGTCCGAAAGAGGTCTCTCGAAAGTGCAGCTTGACATGCGGAAAGCAAGCCTTAGGGCCCGGTGATCTTTTTTTTTTTTTTTTTTTTTGTGTGTGTGTGGGGAAAGTTTCAATATGTAGTGCATAATCTGACAGATCGAATCCCGGAGGCTCAGCTGGTGTGGCAACACAGCAGTACAGAACAGGGGCCCTGTCGGGAGTAGTGTGGAGAGGGGCCCTTAGCCTGTCGTCTACCTCCAGCACACCCCCCGATGTATACAAGGATTCGAACACACGTCCGTATCATAAGCGGTTAACAGGGACCCCCACTTTTCAGCCCTGATCATTTTTTTTAGTTTTTTCGGTTGTTTTTTTCTTTTGCCCTGTTTTATTTTTTGTCAAGGTCTGCGTGTGCCAAGTTTGGAGTTTGTTGGGGTCTTGGAGTTTACTGTTTTGGCTATTTGAACCGTTCATGGGTGTCCCGACTGGGTGTCCCTACTGGCTGTCCCGACTGAGGTAGTTCCGGCACTCGTACCCATATGACGCTGGGTTTTTTTTTTTTTTTTTTTTTTTTTTTTT